GGCTATTTTTTGTTGCAGCTGTCATTGTTTGGCAGGCCCAGGCTGGACTTGAACCTGCCAGCTCAGGTATATGTGGCTGGTGCCTTAGCCATTTGAGCCACAGGCGCCGAGCCTAGAGATGGGGTCTTGCTTTTGCTCAGGCTGGTCTCAAACCCATGAGCTTAGGCAGTCCACCTGCCTAGGCCTCATGGAGTGCTAAGATTACAGGCCTGAGCCACTGAGCCCAGCCTGAATGATAATTTTATTGGATAGGAGGTAACTATGCCTAAAGTGTGTAGGAATATACTAAGATTATTTTTGTAATTTGTGGGACTGACCATGATACCTCGTTATTGAATTTTTTAGTTTATTGAACTTGCCCATTACCCCTAAGAATAGTCTCTTCCACTTCCAAGTTATATTTAATGTTTGTGTTGAAGATATTCCTCAAAAGATTCTAATAATTTTCAATATCTTTATTTCTTAAAAAGAGTGGACGACTGGTTTTGAGGGGTACAGTCTCAGCAGTCGAAGAAATATAGCACTCCGGAATGACTCCGAATCCTCAGGTGTTCTCTATTCCAGTGCTCCAACTTACTTCTGTGGGCAGACATTGACATTCAGGCAAGTAGATATTAAAATGTGTCTCATGCCTTTGATAGCATAGTGAAGCACGTAGAGCAGGCCTGAGCTTGGAATTCAAAATACCTTCCGTTTATTTCTTCATTTACAGACAGTGTTACTTGTGAAGGTTTTTATTTCCCTGTATTCAGAGAGTTATTGTGTAGATTAACTGAGAAATGTATATGAAATGCTTGATACTCAATATATTTTACGTTTCTTTTCCTCTTGGTAAATAGAGGTAAATAGATTCTCTGTCAAATGTTAGTCCTAAAAATTCAGAGGCCAGGAATTATTTTTCCTTTGTGAATCAGTGAGATCATATTTCTTTAACAAACAACATATCAGTATAAATGTACTATATATAGATACACACACACACCCCCACACACACTTCTTTGTAAAAACTAAAAGCAAGCCTACCTCTCTTATCACCAATGAACTGATGAATTTTCTGTCTCTTCTCTCTCTCTTTTTTTTTAGAGGCAGGGTCTTGCTCTGTCACTCTGTGTAGAGTGCAGTGGCATGATCATAGCTTCTTATAATCTCCAACTCCTGGGCTCAAATAATTCCACCTCAGCCTCCTGAGTAGCTAGGACTACAAGCATGTTCCACCATACCTGGCTAATTTTTAAATTTTTTGTAGAGTTAGTTTTGCCATGTTGCCCAAGCTGGTCTCAAATATCTGGCTTCCTCCCATTTCAGCCTCCCAGTGTACTGGGATTATAGGTATAAGCCCCTGCACCTGGCCCATTCTCTTTTATATCAGAAAATTTTCTTTTTTCTTATTTTCATGTTATCCAAAGTATATTCTCTTTGGTCATGTTTCTAAATAGCTTTTCCTAGAAACCAAAGTCTAGTTTTGATTTAGAGAAATAAAGCTTACTTGATTTTCCCCAGATTCACCTTAGTGTAGCAAACTATCCTTCAAGTATGTCTAGAGATAAGGGGATTTTATTGTGAAAGTTTGTCCCAGGTTCCTCTAGTTCTCAGTCTCTTGTTGTATAAGGCATGGAAAGTATCTCGAGTTTTATCTAAAGTTTTATCTAAACCACTGTTGCCATGTTGCCTTCCAGCTAAATAATTTGAACTGTCAGAGTTGTCAAGATATACTAGTTTATGCTGTGTCTCATTTTTGACACCTCCTATCACCCCTTAATGAAGAAAGAATGGCTTAATAACCAGAAAAACACCAACAGATAGAGAAAGAAAAAAATGAGACTCATACCTAAAATCTGTTTAATTATTCCCCAAGTAATTGTGAGTTTTGTATACTAATATACCTTTTCTTGCTTGTGTCCCTTATTTATAGAAATAGTTCCATTAGTGAATCTCCTCAGAACAAGGTACTTCTGTGTAATGACAGAGCATCCCGGTTTGTTACATTTAAGCCGGATATCTCAGACTATTACAATAATAATTGTGGTGAATGTTTAAACAAAATTTACTTTGTGCCACCTACTCTTTTATTTTACTTGTATTATCTCATTTGATTCTCACAATAACCCAGTGAGATAGGTAGAGTTTTCCATTTTAGGGATGAGGAAACTGAGGCCAAAGAAATTATTATTTACCATGTGTCACCCCACTAGTAAATGCCAAAGCTAGGGTTTAAATCCGGGCAGTCTGACTCTACAGTGTGCGTACTTTGAACTACTAGTCTATATTGCTTCTCCTTTTTTATGGGAGAGAAAGATGATTCTAGTTAGTGTTGAAGTCTATAGTTTCTCTCAAATCCCTAGTGCTTTTCTTTTTTATATGACCTTTTATTTCCTAGTGATAGAAAAAAAAAGGTCATATAAAAGGTAGGGTGACGGTGATGTCTACCACTTGATCTGATGTTCTCTGGCTTTTTAAATTTCTCCTCTGTGGACATAGGAGAATATCTGATAGATTGCTTGCTTAAGTTTATTTTTTAAATCATTCAGCAAATACTTATTAAAACATTGGAAATGACACAAATTTATTTAAGCTCACTTTGTACCCTCTGCTGACTGGCCTGACACTTCGTAGGCCTGCCTCAATGAACTGTTAGTTTCTCCATCCTCTCCCAAAGGTGTATGACAGGGCCTCGCTTGGGAGGGTGATTCACTGAAACTCACTTAAGCTTGGTATTATCTCAGCCAGACCACTGCATTTTTGTCATTTTCTTCTTTGAGTGTGAAATGAAAATATTTCTCCCTCTTATTTAAAGGAATTTCAAGCATCAGCAATTAAGTTAGAAAATATAAATTAGATAGGGGAGTCTGTGTATAAGGCAGAGGGCAGATGGGCTTTCTTGAATGAAGATAACTCTTACTCAGTTTTGTGAGGGTGCTTATGGGCCTAATAGTTAGAAGGGATTAGTTAGAAGTTACTATGTTCTTGTTGGCATTGCTTTTGTATAGCCATGTTGTCCTTGCTAAAGTTTCTAGAAGGCATATTGCTATTGAAGCCAGAGAAACCTGTATTATTGGCTGCCAGTTAACATTCTCTAGAGCCCACTCTCACTTGGTGCTGAGGTCTGCTAGCAGCCCCTCCTTCCGGGCCTCTCTCTCACCTGTTCTCTCTTTCCTTCTAAGATTTCCTGCTCTTATTATTTTTACCCATATTTTTACTTGTTTCTCTCTCCCCCCCCCCCTTTTTAAATTCCAGATTAATGAAGTACAATTAGTGAATTCCTTTTTTCTTTGAAACAGCTTCATTTCCTCTGAATGCTAATAATAAATAGTCTTCTTAATTCTAATACCTGAGGAGGTAGACTGTTACTGTCTTCCTTTTACAAAGGAAGAAACAAAGGCACAGAGAAACTAAGTGATTTGTTGTTCTTCAAATCCTGGCAGTCTAGCTTCAAAGTCTGTACTGTTAATCACTGTGCTGTCTGCCTTTCACAAGTGACATGAGGAGGGAAATCAAGGGGACAGTAATGCCAGCTATTTTTTATTATTGACTTTTTCTTCAAAGAACATTAAAAAATTGATGTTCCAGTCATCTATTGATGTTTAAGAAACTACCCCAAAATTTAGTGGCTTGGAACAGTTATAGTCCTTTATTGTGCTTAGGAAGCTATAATTTGGGCAGAGCTTGGTGAGGAGCGCTTGTGTCTATTTGTGTTGTGTTAGGCGGGGTAGTTTAACTAGAGATGACTAGTCTACTGCTAGTCAGCCTCCAAGATGGCTGTACCATATAGCTGGTAAATTGGTTCTAGATCTCTGTCCCTCTCCATGTGGGCCTCTCTCTGGGCTGCTTGGGATTATAGACAGCATGGTAACCTGGACCCAAGAATGAGCATTACAGGAAATAGGAAGCAGAAGATGCCAGTTTCTTAAGGCCTCAGACTGGAAATTGAGATAGTATCACTTCTTCTATATTCTATTGTTTAACCAGTCACAGCCCAGGTCCCAGTGCAGGGCTTAAACCATTCTTTTTTTTTTTTTTTTTTTGAGACAGCGCCTCAAGCTGTCCCCCTGGGTAGAGTGCCATGGCATTACAGCTCACAGCAACCTCCAACTCCTGGGCT